CTTTGGAAGTAGCTTCATCAATCTTTGAAATAAATTGGAAACCCCAGATTTAAGGTTACTGGAATTTTAGGTAAGAAAGTGACTTACTTGCGAGTTGCCTGAATGGTATCACAGTTACATTTCATTCAGACTAAAACTATTGTTGAAACTTATTGGACTTTGAAAGTCCAATAAGTTTCAACAATATAGAGGTCAATTCTGGCATTGGTACTGTTATTTATACATAGCTTTGTCTGTATGTGCCTTGCTTTTTGTGCCTTGGCTAACAAACTTTCAAGTGCTGCTAAATCTTGCTTCTCAGTTTCCTTTGCTGCAACAAAAGCAACTAGTTAAGTACCGTTTAAAAAGGCAATATAGGCATAGTAAGATCTGAAACTCATTCAAGAGTTCAATACCAATTTTGGATCTAGCCTCTGAAACAGACATTCTGGGCTTTCACAATAATGTGTTGAAACCATGAATTTCACTGAGCCAACACTTAATTAAAAGCAATTCTTGATAATACTGTAAACCTTTGACTTTAGTTTGGTGGAGAGAATCAAAGAAGGACTCATCTCAGACGCCAATATAGTAGTATCATCTCTCAAAGTGTAAACTAATTGCTAAACAAAACACCTTAAATTCAGTCCTCACTTTTGATTTTAACTTCTGTGTCTCCTGTAATGAGTCCTCCACCCTGCATAGATTGTGACTGTCCAGTGCCACTTGCGCTTTGTTCATTTTCTTTATCCATTTTAGATATCAGTGGCCTTTATGCAGCACAAAAAAGTCAAAAAAGAAAGCACATTGTTTGGGAATTAGAAAAAGTTGATTTAACATGACAAGGGGAAATGAAAAAGTGTTAAAGAGAGGCTTTCAAAGCTCCAAGGGGGCAGGGAGGGAAGGAGGGAGGGCTCTCAAAACAAACTGAGTTTACAGGGAGCCTTGCTTTTTCCTCATCCAGCAATAACACTATCCAGCTGCATACATTGTACATACATACAGTCTCAGTAATTTCTACAATGATGTCTATTAACCCTCCACGCCTATTAAAAATGCAAACGCATTTATATCTTTTTAAAATTATACTCAAGACAATTCACCATAACAGCAGTAAACATCCCACAACATCAGGGCTGTCATTAAGTTTTGAGATGCCTGTACCCTTCTTCTCCACATCCATAGCAAATTTGTTGCTTTGTGGGTGTATTCTTTCAACAACACGCAATTTCACCCATATCATCAAGAGAAAATCAAACCTAGTCAGCTGTAACAGGCGTTACAGGTTGCAGCCCTTAATGACAGCTCTGAACATCATTACCAGGGTCTGTCTTCTTCCCATCCCTAAAAGTGAGNCGTTACAGGTTGCAGCCCTTAATGACAGCCCTGAACATCATTACTAGGGTCTGTCTTCTTCCCATCCCTAAAAGTGAGCAGGAGCACCCAAAAGTGTAGCAGCTCTTGTGGGCTTCTAATTCTATTTGTCATCAAAGTGTAGCATCTTTCATTGTTTTGGGGTAAGGGCACTGTTTCTGTTCTTTGTTCTGTTGTAACATTGCCTTGTCTGACGTGCACTGTTAATGAGAGTAATGTTATGCTTATCTATCACAGAAGTAATCAGCAAGAAACAGTATCAAACGGTATTGTGCCATTCACATGAGACCCAGAGCACCAGGAGATGAGATAAAGAGACCCTGAGACCAAGGTTGTACATCCTACATGTTTTGAATGTATTTTGAATGTCTCTACAAAATTGCGTGGTCAGCAGATTGTGCAGGTTTTCCTTACAGAGAGTAGTGGGAAGGGGTTGAAGTTAGTTTACACTTCCAACAGACTTGAAGTTGGAGTCATAAGAGAGCTTAAGACCTAGAGAAAATTGAAAATTGGAGTTGTAAGCAGAGTCACAAGCTCAATGGAATCAGAGTTTGAAGAATCAGAATGTTACCATTTCTTACGACTCTGTTTACGACTCTGTCACTTATGATCCACTGAAAACTAGGTTGTTGGAATCACAAGCAGAAGAGGAAGAACCAACCAAAAACAAGGCCCAGAATTGAAAATTGTGATTGGTTTATTCTTTCACTTCTGCTTCTGACTCCGACAGTATAGTTTTCGCTAGATCATAAGTAGCAGAGTCATAAGCAGAATGGGTGTTCAGCTTCCAATTCCGTCTGTCTAATTTTCACTGGACCATTTCGCTCTACGCTTCTCATTACCACTCCAACTATGAGTCTATTGCTAGTGAA